GTAACCAATCACAAATCCATCACTCACTTCGACTATCTCGATATGTGGTTATTCAATTTATTTATTTGTTCAATGCATAAACTAGTTTGTTTTTGTAACAAGTAAAAACTTTGTTTATTCATCCTGGTTGAAAATTTGTAGGCAATATCAATATATTCATAGTGTATGTGTATCTTGTGTGTCGGTAGGACTGTATTGGATACTTTTGATTGGACACCAGTTAGTAACTAATGTAATGTGTCTAGTCCTTTGTTTAGTGCAAACATCAACAATTCAAAGTGCAGCGTGATGGCGAGCTACCTAGAGTGACTGATAGAATCCAGTCTACAGCAAACAAAGGACTAGACACACCACACTAGTTACTAGTGTCCAATGAATGCACAGGACTTTCAGCGGAGTTTATTGCATCGTATTTTCTCTTCATCCAGGATCTTCAAATATAACATTAAGTGACAGTAGATCGTGTGACACACAGTTCTATCTGGCCTGAATTGTGCAAACCAATCCTTCATGTGATATCTCTTGTTTGTCTCCTTCTAGAAATACATGACGACATTTGGTGGTTGAACGTCAGGAGTACATTTTGTGAACAAGGGACACAACTGAGGAATGCTCATCTTATGTATATATTAGATAAGCTACTATCTAGGAGGATACTGCTTTTTCTGATGTTTAGTAGAAACTTGCGAATCAGTAGGTCGTAGATATTTTAGATATTCGCGAGGGTAAACAACACTATTAGAGGTCATACTTTACTAAATTTAAACAAAATGATTAAGAGGAATTATATGCTATATATATATATATATACATAGTGCTACTATACGGATCAGAGACTTGCACTGCGCGTCATAAAGAGCATCTCAAACAAACTACACACCTTCATTAACAGTTGTCTTCGCTCAATACTCAAGATCAGATGCCCAGCCAGAAAAGATCAGCAACAGGGATCTCTGGGAGCGAACCAACCAGGAACCGACTGTGAAACAAAGAGGCAGGAAGAAATGGAGATGGATTGGCCATAATCTGAGAAAACAAACCATCAAGTGACATCACTAGACAAGCCATCGCTCGAGTGTAACTTGAAAGGGAAGCGGCGAGTTGGTCGTCAGTGCAAGGGTGACTTGGAGGAGGTCATGTGAAGAGGAGATGAAAACGTGTGGGCAGACTTGGAGCCAGGTGAAGACTCTAGCAGAGAACCGAACGCAATGGAGACGCATGGCTGAAGCCCTATGTTCCTCTAGGAATTAAAGGGAACAATAATAATAATAAATAATAAATAATATATATATATATATATATATTGATGTAGGTTTCCAGTAGCCTAAGTTTTAAGTAGGCAACCGACATATACATTATATGTGTCCAAACCAAGTTCACTTATAACAGTATGAAAAAATTTGGGCATTGGGTATATGATATTCATTATAGTGAAGGTTTTTGTATTTCCCAATGAATGAATGAATAACAAAACAATATTGCTGTTTTTACTGACGTTTCGCTGTTTAATGCTAATAGCTTTATCAAGGTATTATTAAACCGGAATTTACAATTTCTCTGCATATATATAACAAAGAGTTAAGGGGTGAGAAAATAGACAAGTTAGGTCAAGTTAAAGGGACATATTGAAAGTCGAAATAACAATGAAGATCACTAAACCAAAATAACAAAGGTAATAGTGCATGTGCTATGATATCAAAACAAAACTTTACTAACTTGATCATCGTTCGTCAGTCTGGGGTCATTTTTCGTTGTCAAGTTGGTCAATTGGTAAAGATAACAAAACCAAGTGTAGATTGTTGGATTTGATCAGTGTGTAAAATTACAAAGGCAGTGTGTGTTTACATAGTGAACTTGCTTATCACATTCGTGTTGATTTTGTCATTTCATGGGGGAAGGGAGGGAGGTGTTGTAACCAGGTGAGATTCTGTTTTAGTCCATCATTCCTGTTCAGACAATTTGGATTCCACTTGATATGAAGTGCTTCTGATGGTATTAAACGTTCTTTGTGATATCTGAAATGCTTTTTCTGGATTATTTCAATATTGTCAAAACTCATTTTGTGGCTTGATTCTATAGTGTGTAGACAAGCTATGGCTGATGATTTTTCAAGTTTTTCTAGTTCAACCGGATTTCTCGGTGGTCGAAGAGATGCTCTACGGTGTTCATTTCTTCTGATTTTGATTTCTCTCTGGCGATGTTTGTCCGATGTATATCGCATCACATTCCAAGCAAGCATTTTATTTTATAGACACAATTAGATAGAGAATTTTTAGGGATTTGGTCTTTTATATTGACAAAGTGTGTCTGATGTTTTGAAGAAAACTCTAATGTCGAGCCGACATGTACGTATTTATTTTGCATGCAGAGAATGAATATATATATATATATATATATATATATATATATATATATATATATAGGGCTTCATACCGATTTCTTCTGGCCACCTAACACTATCATGACGAATCACCTAGCTTGCTGACGACATCCCACCCTTAGATGATAGGACTCAGTAAGCATTGATACCAAGGTCTGGATACATGACATCGATTACTCACTAATGTCCAATCAGTGTTACTGACACTTTATCCCATTCTGCTTTTTAATACATGAATATGATTGGTTTTATAGTCACGATTTCACCGTTTCTTGTATTACCTTCTCTGGGATATTTTTATGTCAGAAGTGTAGCGGTCTAAACTGGTACCAATTGACTGCCAGATCCCATGTTAGTTATTATTGACTAGTAGATGAGTCAGATAATATAAGTATCATCTGAGTTTCGCATTGAGATCTCCGCATATTTGAACCTTCTTCTTCTTCTAGCAGAGGTCAACTTGTTTTCGAAGAAATCCTTTGAAGCATGCATCGTAGACGGTGAAAGATATTCAAAACATAGACAGAGGATGATATTCGAAGATTTGGTTTGTTTTAGGCGCTATACATATTATTTGCGCTTAAAAATCTTTTTCCCTGACTGTTTTCACTAGCTGTTTGTCGTTAGTTCTTAGCTCATCGTCCTGCAAAGTATTTATATTGCTCTCTTAGGGCTTCAATGACACACAAGGCGTATGAACCGAACTCCGGTCACCGGCTGCCAATGGATAGTGGACTCCCTACTCCACTCCTACTGCCTTGTAGGTCACACTTGGTTGTGTAAAGGCTAGAGCTGCACTCTCAAAGAAAAGGCCGAGCGATTCTGGGGACATCACTCGTACCAAATTCCCATGAAACTTCATGAACTCTCTTACAAACGACTCTATTTGAGATGTTCATGAAGCCGGCTCATCCTCCCGTAGGAGATAGCCGAAGTAAAGTAAAGTAAGTAGTCATTCCCTCCTCACGACACGACCTTCTGTATGTCATCCTCAGTCCTATGCCAAACTAGTCGTTTACCCATTCGGTTTTCACTTGAGGATCTGGTACGTGATATCACTCTCAACGGTCTCCTCAACGTGTGCCTGATCCATCTCTCTCGCTTTTTTCTTTGGTGTATTTGTTGAACGGTAGGTTGTTGTTGGTGGTTGTTAGTTCGTTTCCAAGGTTCCTTATGACTCATCTTTTCTGGCTGGCCATCTGATCTTCAGTATGGATCCGGTAAAGTGGGCATCTGTTGATAAGGTACTGAAGGCTGTTCGAAATGCAGAGTCTGTGCCTAATCTTTGTAAACGGTTGACTAATTCAGGTTCTGAGTTCTATGGGTGTTTGGAATTTATTTTAGGGTAGATTTTGTCGTGACCAGTGAGGTCCGCTATATCAATGTCAGGCGGTTGCTAATCAATAGTATTTGGTTGATGATAGAGCTACATAATCAATTGATGGAGGTTAGAATACGAGGATCATTAACTTGAAACCCGATGACTGAATGACCAATCAACTTACCTGGATCCTGTCCCTACTGAGAGCATGGGTGGGTATGTGCTGCTGAAAAGCCCCAAATTAAGGTGAAACACATATCCAGTGCTCTACATATATATATTCCTTGGCGTTCGAAGTGGAACATGGGGCATCGGGCTTGAGCTTTTAAGTTTCAGTAGTGATGGTTTTGTCTTTGTGGAATGGGTCTGCTAGCCTCATCTGGAGTAAACTTCCTTGTTTACCCGGATTACTATGCGTTAGGGGAGGAATAAGAGTGTGTCAGCTTGGAAGCGATCTCCTAAGCACATCTAGTGTCTCATAGTTTTTAATATTTGATTGCATGGAGGATTTCATCATGAGCTGATATCAGTTAGATTTCCAGTTAAGTTTTCTAGTGGTTCCCTAGCTGATGTCAGCTCATGATGAAATCCTCCATGCAATCAAACAAAATCCTCCCTACAAAACTAATACTTGAAAATTAATCTGATGCTCACTAGTGACTGGTCCTATTCAGGCAGTTAACCTGGGGTTCTAGTGGGAAGCCGTAACCAGTAAGTCGGGTACAGCAGGTTGAAGATGAGGCAGTGACTCATCGGAGAAGACATTGTGAAGTGGTCGCGCTATGTCGTTAATTGGCAGAAGTTAGAATTCATGGACTGGTCATTGGATCGGGTCTCAGTGGCTCAGTGGTTTACGAGCTCGCTAACCTTGTAACCAGAAGATCCTGGGTTCAAATTGTGGCGGTGGGTGCGTACTGATGAAGAGTCCCAAACTAAGACGGAGGAAACAGTTGTCCAGTACTCCATGGCTGGTTTTTCAATGGTTTTCTAACTGATGTCAGCTCATAATGAAATCCTCCAACCAATCAAACAAAATCCCTACAAAATCAATACTTTTTAATATTTCTCTCACCGATGTTAGTTTGTAACAAAATTTCCAGCGAAACTAACTTAATGTGTTGCTTTAGCCTAATGTTTGAAGCGATGAGTTCCCTTTTCAACAACCTGATCCTTAGCCACCGTTTCAGGTTGATTGAGGTGAATGTTATCTAACTGTAATTCTGTAAAATTTGATATTTTAATGCATTTGTTTTTATCTGGAAATTTTATTTTATTTTGTTTTTATTTTTTCCTCTTTAGATGTTGAATCTTTCAATGAAAATTATATTTGTTATTCTGTATTGCAAAGTTTTCTTAATGCCAATATTGTTGCTGAATGTTTTTACAAGTGAGTTCATAATTTTGTTATTTTCAATTGTTATTCTGTTTATGATTATCGATTTAGTTTTTTTTTGTTTTGATTTGTTTTTTTCTTTCAATCCTTGTGAAATATTCTGTCTTAAATTTTATTAAAAAAAAGAAATTAATATTAGTTAATCTGATTGCTGTAATAATTCAATGTTTTGGTTGTTCTCAGTGTATTTGTCTAGTGAGAGAAGACACTATCAAATATGCTTTGAGTTTGGATACTTACTAGGGAATGGTGTCCGTCAAGGATTTATTATTATTGTTCCCTTTAATTCCTAGAGGAATATAGGGCTTCAGCCGTGGGTCTCCATTGAGTTCGGTTCTCTGCTGGAGTTTCCACCTGGCTCCAAGTCTGCCCACACACCTTCAAGTCACCCTTGCACTGACGACCAACTCGCCGCTTCCCTCTCGGGTTCCACTCGAGCGATGGCTTGTCTAGTGATGTCACTTGATGGTTTCCTCAGAGTATGGCCAGCCAATCCATCTCCATTTCTTCTTGCCTATTTGTTTCACAATCGGTTCCTGCTCTGTTGGTTCGCTCCCATGGATCTTTGTTGCTTATCTTTTCTGGCTGGCCATCTGATCTTGAGTAGTATTGAGCGAAGACATCTGTTAATGAAGGTCTGTGGTTTGTTTGAGATGCTCTCAATGACGCGCAGTGCAAGTCTCTGATCCGTATAGTAGCAATGACTGACTTCACATTGGAGTTGAAAATCCGGATCTTATTTTCACTTTCATACTGAGTGCTGTTGACCTCCACACAGACTTGAGAGTAGTGAAAGCTTCTCTTGCTTTTCCGATTGTTGCTTTGATATCCTCGTCAGTTCCGTCCACCTGTAGTTGAAACAATGCTTCGCAGGTGGGTAAAAGAAGTTGTTTCCTTCCGGTTCCTCCCATTTATGATGATCGTTGTCTGTTGTTCTTGTCCAGGAATATTCATCACCTCTGTTTTCTCTATGTTCACCTGAAGTCCTATCTTTGATGCTTCTTCTATCGGCAACTTGTTGCTTTTCGCTTGCATATCTTCCAGTTTGTTCGAAATCAGATATATATCGTCGGCGAAGTCCAGATCCTCCAAGTTTTTTGTTTGAGTCCATTTTATGCTTGTTTCCTCATTGCCCACTGTTTGTCGCATCATCCAATCTACTGCAATCAGGAAAATCATTGGCGATGCCCACTGTTTAATTTTATCATAGATGTACTCTAATGGACTTAACCCTAATAGACTGACTTCAACGACTCAGAGATTGACTTGTTAACAACAGGGAATAATATCGTTGGCGTAGAATATGCGAATGGCATAGTCCTCCCTCCTGCTGACAAAATGCAGCCTTCTGAACACTTTGAGATGAGGTGAGCAGTAGTCTTCGAGTGTTTGGAATGCGATTCACCTGCTCCTGTTAAATGTAAGTTGGTGCTACATGACTGGACTACATCGACTGACTCCTAGCTTAAATAAAGGGAGTCAGATGCACTTGTTCGGGAAGTTGTATCAGCCCCAACGCCAACGGGTTGATCACTTACGAAATCTCAACATGGATACAAAAAGCTGTTTGACATTTTCCTGCCAACTTACGCCACCTCTGGCTTAGTAGACGTGATATCTGGCTGACTGGCGAGAAAAGGACGTGTGTACTGCATAGCAGCAGTAAAAGCCTGGCTAGCTGTCTCTGATCATAGGTGCCTGTGTTCTGTCTTCTGTGTTAGGCGGTATAATAGGGTGAGTAATATTGAGTTGAGGCATCGGTCGAGTATAAGGTAAAGAGAAAAAATCTATCGATGATGTTGTGGAGCTAAATCGACTGAGATGGCTGGGAGACGTGTAACTCTTTCCTAGCCATCACCTTCCTCGACTGGAAATGTTAGCTGACTGACATAGCATCAGGTTGCAAAAGAGCTAGTGGCGGTCAAACGAAAACAAGGAATAAGTCAATGAAACCCACAACAGTTAGTTTAAGCCAGTCAACCAGCCTCGTAGGGAAGTGAAGACTTCCTGACTGACTGGTTGGGGTCCTCGTGATGGTAAGAACCAATGAAGGCTGGGGGCGATTGGTGATATCGCTGGCTCAAAGTGATCGTTGTCAATAGCTGGCGCAGATCCATTCACTCTTTTTATTTGTCAGTCATATCCAATAAAGCTCTATTGTTCTTCCATATTACCATTCTCTTTCCCTCAATCACACTTCTGTTTATGATCTCCCTCTCTTTTGAATCTCTCTTTACTGTCTTCTCTTGCTTTGTGTGGTACATGGAAGGAGTATGGCAACTCGAACTGCTGCACACGTGTGCAAAATTCTACGTTGAAAGTAGCCAGTCAGTCAGAATGGCTTCATCAGAAAAGGATATTTGAAGCCTTTAGGGAACTCAGGTTACTATTTTTAGTTTCAATTTGATGTCTAGGCTACTTAGGTCACGTGTTTCCACCTGTAGGATCGTACACTGGTTGGTTTCCACAATGTCCCATAAAGGCGTATATATCAATCAGCAATAATAGTTACCTTTCATCGACCGATTCTTATAGTGCCAAGTAGCTTGTCAGAATTCAGGTAGTTTGAGGTGTTTCAGCTTTCTGAATTGAGTCTAATAACGTGTACCACTGATAAGTTCAGCGCGAAACGAGCGAAACGCCTCTCGGGTATATAGCGCTAACAAACACTACTGTTTGACGTAAGTGATTTTCAACTACTGATAACAATCAAGTAGTATATATACCAACAAACATTAATGGACAGTGTTGACGATTAAAGAATTATGTACTGATTTATATATTTATTTGACTTTAAATCGAAATAGTTTCATGCTAGAAATAAGTAAGAATTCGAGATTGTCTGTCTGTCTGGATTCAACATAGAACTTGGCACCACAGTGCAGCAGTTCGAGTTGCCACGTTCCAAATACCACACAAAGGTAGACAAGAAGATGAGTGAAGAGAATCAATAGAGTTTTGACAAGTATAAGAGTGAAACAGAATGAGTAATGGTAGAAAGGAATATGAAAGGTTAAAGAGACTGAATACATCTGCGTAAGCCATTGACAACGATTTTGAGCCATGTCACCTATTGTCTCCAGCCATTGATTCTTAGAGTCCCGAGGGCGGGCCCCAATCCGGAAGTCTGAATCTCCCTCCCTACTTGACTCAGTTTAACTGTCAAGGATTTCATGGATTGATGAGGCCATGTTTTTGTTTGGCCACCACTTACTCTTTTCCAACCTGCACCTATATCAGCTAGTAATGGTCGTCGGGGGAGGCGATGGTTAGGCATGTGCAGCACGTGACCTAGCCATCTGAATCTATGTAACTTTATAGCCTCTTCGATTGATTTTCCCTCTTCGCCCAACACTCTACGCCTAACGTCAACATTACTTACCTTATTATACCACCTAACGTGAGAAAGAGATTGTAGACATCTATGATCAAAAACAGTCAACCTTTTCATGTCTTCAACTCGTATTGGCCATGTTTCAGCAGCCATAGAGAAGGACGGAGTGAACTGCTGAGCAGTACACACGTCCCTTGGTTGATAGTCGGATGTCACGCCTACGCCAGAGACGGTGTAAGTTAGCGAAAGCAGCCCGAGCTTTTTGGATCCGTGCTGTGAGGATGGATGTCCCACTGACGACATTGGTTGGTCGTTGCGCTAAATCACAAATTGGTAGAAGTTAGAATTCATGGGATAGCCATTGAATTGGGTCCTAGTAGCTGAATGGTATACGAGCTTGCTTGCTTGTATCTGCGGAAGGTCCTGGGTTCGAACCCTCTGCGGTGGGTGCGTACTGTTGATGATTCGCAAGCTAATGGGATGAAACAGCTGTCCAGTACTCCCCCTGTGGCTAGTTTTCAATGGTTCTCTAACTGATATCAATCCGTGATAAACTCGTAAAAAGATTGATTACTGAACAAAGAATATTCTTTTTGATAACCACTTCTTCATCAGGCTCTACAGTTATATATCCATTCATAATAATTAAAGATTGACTGTTAGTGACACCATTAATGGTTTTTAAAGTGTAGCAACGAGTCATTGACAGGAAAATTCCAAAAGTTAATAGATTATAGTCCAAAATATGTGTGTATGTGTTAATATGTAAAATTGTAATACTAAATTGAACACCAGTATTACAAAGTAAACGATTAGGAGTGTCAACGAATGTATAGTAATGAATTATCATGAGTCATGTTCATATTGAATTCTATTCATATTGATTATAAACTTCAGATGGATGAATGATCATGTCAAGGATGGGGGTAGAGAAAAAGGGTTTTTGGGATTGAATTTTATTTTAAGAAAACAAAAGGTTAGTTAGTGTAAATGTAATAATGAGGAGTAGGGGAATTCATGTGTGCAGGATGGAAGGCCATATCAAAAAACGCCGATGTAATAAGGTATTTATGAATTTGCAGACTCCAAAGCAGGTGGGGACAGTAATAGTTGTTGGCTGGACCTGTTTCTTCTGTACATAGAGCACCGCTTGTTTTGGGGGAATTGCAATAACCTCTGCTGTTTGTAGTATTTGGTACTTGGATTATTTTTATTATTGTTCCCTTGGGTTCCTAGTGGAACATAGGGCTTCAACTACACGTCTCCACTTGCTTCTGTCTTCTGCTGTACTTTTCACCTGCATCCATGTTAATCCATAATGTTTCAACTCCTCTTCACACGATCTCCTCCATGTCACCTTTGGACGTCCCACTCGCCGATTCCCTTTCGGGTTCCACTCGAGCGTTGGCCTGACGCGCGATGTCACTCAGCGGCCTCCTCAGCGAGTGTCCAATCCATCTCCACTTTCTCCTGCATATTTGTTGAGCGATTGGTTCTTGTTTCGTTTGTTCCCATAGTTTCTTGTTGGTGATTCTTTCTGGCCATTTGATCTTGAGTATAGAACGAAGACAGCTGTTGATAAAGGTCTGCAACAGGCTGTTGGAAATATTCTTTGTGACCCGCCAAGTTTCTGATCCGTATAGAAGAACTGACTTGACGT